TTACAATCTGAAAGAATTCATCGAACTGAAAATGAAACAAATCGAAATATTTGTCTTTCTCAACATCGTAAACACTTCGAGAAAGTTTATCAAAGTTTCTTATTAATCAATAATATTGTTGAAGAAATTCTTCATTAGTATCAATATCATTGAAGCTTTTTGTTACATCGTCGATTGACAATCAAAGATATTGAAATCAATGAATAGACCATTATAGCTAATTCTATTTAATAAATCAATTACTGGAGATAAAATTTCTCTAACCAGCAGATATATCGAATTTTGAACATGAGATAATTTTTATGCTTGAGATGATTTTGAAACAACACTCAAAATTGGAAAGATTAGATTATTTTTCACCATGAGCTGCTTAGGTTAATATGTTGAAGGTGATTACTCAGGGTGTGGGTGTGTGGATGCATGGGTGGGTGGGTGTGGGTGCGGGTGTGTGGATGCATGGGTGGGTGGGTGTGGGTGCGGGTGTACTTTCATAAATGACCCATACTCACACCCACAACCACAACCACACCCACACCCGACACCCATACCTCACACCCACACCCACACACCCACAACCACACCCGACACCCACACTCACAACCACACCCGACACCCACGCCTCACACCCACACCCACACACACCCACACCCACACCCACACACCCCTCATGTGAAAATACCTGGCGATATGATTGTTAAATTCAATGGATTCGAATCTATGATAATAGCGTGACCAATTGTAGTATTACTGTTTTAATTAGTTGCAGCACTCGAACTAGAGATATTACCAACAGTTCCATCAGTAAATTCAATAATCACCTGCCTAACTAATGAATCAAGTATTGACTAATTCATAACGAGACGAACAATCAGGTGCATATAAATATGCTGATAGGTCATTTGAAGATGGTAAAGGAAAAGCATCCGGCACCGTTGTATTAATCCATCATCTATATTGATTCGGATCACATGCTTGTTCGATTTGGCAAGAATCTAGATGGTGATCTTGACTCATGCTTTTATGATGGCGAATAACATTCATAAAAGGAACAAATAAAGTAATGACGATAAGTGAAAGTAGTTTCATGTTGACAAATAATAAACATATTGTTTGTAGTTGATCTACCGATAAGACGATAAATTAATTTAGACATGTATTTAATTGATAAATAAAAAACATACCGAATGATTAATAAAATAGTATGATCATTAAATAAATGAAAAGTGATAAATAAATAAAACTTGAATTACTACCCATGGCGTAAATTTCTGCGATAAAAACGCATTCTCAAAACCCGTTTTTCCATAATTGCGAAACACGTTAATACTGACCGATTTGACGCGTTTCACATCTGCTAAAATAGACGCTGTGGAATGATTGTTTTTCTAAAAAATTCCGTAACGTTTTTCAAACTATGGTGTCGTATATTCTAGATGGAAAAAAACTGAAAACCGTCAATTGCTTCATATACCTTGAGTTGTAAATATAATTCATGCACTCGTTTACATTTTTTCATAGACCTTTGGAACTATAAGTTACATAAATTTTAATAAAGTCAAGGCATGGATTCGCACACGAGAACATAAGAGTAGAAGACATGTGTACAAACCGTTCAACTAAAATAATCTAATAGAACAAGTACTTATTCTACTGTCATTCAGAGGCTTGCTTAAACTTATTAAATTAGATTTTCGATTTCCCATTCCAACGAATTAAAAATTATCATTTCTTTGTTGCCTATATCAAATTACGAGAGTGATCTCGTCTTGATATATTTTTAATTTAAACTCTTGCCTAATATGAAAAGCATCATTTCATCTAAGCATGTAATTTTTTAACTTGAAAAATAGTTATATTATCTTCAGAATTGTTTTTGCATAAACTAGGATAAACATAAACTTCAATTTCAAAGTATGATCTTCGATAAGTAATACACATCGATGACAAAATGTTTGGTATGAATGGAACAATAACCACTGTAAGAATTTAGTCAATCTATGTGGTCTTTTTGTTTTTCTTTCGTCTATATATGTTCTATCTGTATCGATTCAATCTTGTTTTTTATTCATTTATTTTCAAAATCAATTCGATGTAGCAACAATTTTAAATCACAACATTTATTTTTCAGTACTCTTTTCTTCTTCTTCTTCTTGAACAGGTTCCCACCATGCCCACGTAAGGATACCTGGTTCGGCACCTGGAAATGATCGATGTGGAGCAACACATCGATATTTTATACCATCATACATTACTTCATCACCTATTTGATATTCAAAAAAATCCGATGACCATGTTGTTAAACCAAGTGGACGCCGAGTAGTTGTAGTAGTTGTTGTTGATGGTGATGACTCATGACTTGACCAGGATGGCCATGTCCATTGGTTTGTTGAACCTGTTGTTGATGGTGACGATCCATGACTTGACCAGGATGGCCATGTCCATTTGATTGTTGAACTTGTTGTTGATGATACTGACCATTGATTTGTCGTTGATGGCCGTGTCCAGTGATGTGCTGATGTAGTAGCACTAGCTTTCGTTGTTGTTGATCTTGTTGTAATCGTAGATCTATATAAATATCATAATTGGAATGAAGAAAAAGTTAATAGATTTACGTTGAAGGAATTATAACTATAGGTGGATCAGTAGACGAACCATCTGGTAAAATAGCAATATCAGAACAACCCATAAATGTTTCATTTTCTCGTCCTAAACCAGCACCCGACTGACCAGTAATTGGATCTGTACCCCAACTATTTCCTGCTGTATATTTCCATTGAAAAACACAATGTCGACAAGCAACATCTGGTGGAAGTTGTACACGAACAGTAATCATTTCTGAACCATATTTACTAACATCGCGAAATTTAGTTGAATTAGTATGAGCAATTATTAATTGATGACGATCGAGACATTCTTGAGTAGCATCAGTTGATGGACTAGCATCCAAATTACATAGACGGAATTCAAAATAACCTTTATGATTAGCTGTTAACTATTAGTAATATAATTGAAATAAATTTTTTTCGGTAATTATTCATTTTAACATTAACTTACCACGACTTTTACATCGATTTGTTGTCCTTGAGTGTATGTTTTAACAACGGTACCTTTATACATTGCTCCACCTTTTTCAAATAATTTCACTTTTTTATCATATGATTCACCACAAATGCTACATTTCCCATCTTAACAAAAAGATAGCAAATGAAGTCTTTGTATGATTATAGCAAAACAAAAAAAAAACAAACCATTGACATTCCACTGATGTCCCATTCCTCCACAAAACATTTCCATATGATTTGGCCAAGTACAGCATTGTCGAAATGATGAATTAACAAGCCAAGCTGAACTACGAGCTACCGGTTCAAACAGATAGCCGTGACCATAAACTGATGTTAAAAAATAGGGAAATAAAACCAAAAGACCAAACATTGAGGATAGTGCTTTTAGAAAAAAAAATGAATTTGATCCTGTTACCAAAAAGTAACGGCACTCAAATGGAATTGAAATAGAAGACGTAGGTAGGTAAAATAAGTCGAAAAAACAAAAATCGTTATTATCTACAACTGAAATTTGATACTATGATACTTGCACTCTATTTATCTGCCATCCGGTGCTAGTATTAAATTGCAATCAAACATCAGTACGAAGTGATGAGAAGCTAGTATGTTTCAGTATGAAAAAAAGCTTATTGTTATATTATCAATTACGTATTTCACATATTCGACAAATAGAAGTTATTTGTCATACGTAGCTAATAATTTCAAAATAAATAATTTTTGTATTTCATGCCATGTTATCTTAGATGAAAAGTTCTTATTCTAAATCAACTTATATATATGAATGAAATACAATTAAAAATAAATGACCATCGTAGATAATATAGCATGACTGGTAAAAATGTTTTTCTACATAATGGGATTGAGAATAAATTTTACATCAAAATAAAGCTTGTTGAAAATGAGAATTCTCAATATAAATCAATATGGATTTAACGACTTTTTTCTTTAGAACTGCAGAACTATTTAGAATTTTATAGTGTATATGTGGCACGATGCACTAATAGTAAATCAATATGGAGAAAGAAGGGTGTGAATGTGGGTAATAAGATTCTTTCATCTACACCCACACCCATTTCCTATTGTAATATTATTGATGAATTTTTTTTATCTATAGCATTAAATTTAGCTGATGATTCAGGTACATCAATTTCACATGTTAATTTAACTTGTTATTGTAATATTAATGAGTCTAATGATTGACTTTTAGAATTTTCAGAATATATTTATACTAAATAAGAACCTTCATCCGGTCAGTCTTGCATTATCTAACCTTTATATGTAAAAAATGAGTAAAAAACTGTTTTTTGTAGACCTTACATATATTTTCGAAGAAAATAGTGAGTGTAAGTTTTAAGTCGAAGTTTTGCGCCTTTCCTTTCCCCACCCTCTCCTCATTACAAATACCTCAACTACAAACTTTAGCAATTGAGAATAACAGGGTGGATGTGGATGTAGGTGGAGATGAGACCCGCACTCACGTACCTCACACCCACACCCTCGTCCTAGGAAGTATCATTAAAAAACAAAGAAGGAGAGGGAACGACTAAAAAAACCATTGGAACAGCAGAGGATGAGATGAAAGAGGAGAAAAGAGAGAGTGAAAGTCAATATTTTGCAGTTGTAGCTATCACTTACTCTCAACAAAAGTAAATATAGCGAAGTGTTGAATGAATTAGAATTTTCTTTCATTCTTTTTTTTGGTCATCAGTTCGTTAATTGTATTCCTTATCTCGACGACAACAATAAATCATTTTTGAAGGTGAGCAACATAAATAAGCATTTAGAAACAAATAAACTAAATTGCACTTTTACAAACATAAATGAAAGAATTGTTGAAATATATGGAAAAGCAATTGTTTTTGCAAAATACGGTATGCATGATGAAGAGAGTTTGTATTCTATATAATACTGAAGGTTCACTATTAGAAAAAAGAAAAATAGGCAGATACATGCACCAATTAGTAAAATGTACGCTTACTCTGATTATAAAAGGAAATGAACTGACGAAGGAGAAAGATCCCTTCAAAACATTTTAAAATAACTCTTAATTTAACACTTCATTTCAATTAGAGTTTTAGACAAAGTATAAGTAAATTAAGAATAAATCAATAATTTAATCAACAGAAAAAGAATTTAATTAAGTAGTAAACCTTTATGATGATCTTCCTTGACATACCCAGGACGAGCAATCCGACAGTTGGATTCCGTCGGATCTTGCCAGAAAAATGATCGGATTTTATCGGATCCGACAGGAATTCATCGGAAGTTGTTGGAATCCTTGGTACAGGATTCCGACAGGAAGTTGTCGGATGTCGGAAAGTGTCGGAAGGGATCCAAATCCTGTTAGAACCCTGAAAATCCGACACTTTCCAGCGTCCGATAACTTCCTATCGGAATCCTGTACCAAGGATTCTGAAAACTTTCGACGAATTCCCATTGAATCCAATGGGATGAGTTCGACCTGGGTATGCAATTACGAGTTAACAAGAGAATATCCTGAATTATTCGACACCGTTTGGCTTCATATTCTGGCTACGAGTAAGACCAGCTGAGACTAAGAAAACCATAAAAGAGTTCAAACCCATAGTCTACCTGAATGGAGATCTAATTGTCTCATGGATGAAAAAGTGCGCTTTCTTTTTTACTGTTTTCTCAAGTTTTCTTGGTTATAGTGAGCAGTAATGATTTGACTTTATTAACATAAAATTTTCATTTAATACTACGAGCTTGAACTGTTTTCATTGAACAGGACTAATCGATGCCGAGATATCTTTATACTTTAAATCCGCTAACGCTTTTAAAAAAAGACGTAAATGTTCGGTTTCTTTTATTCAAATGCATAGAAGTACGCAAAATGAACTAATAAAAAAAGATATTTAATGTAGATGAAGTCGAAACATAGTACACAGCAGTGTCCGACACGGGTCGGGTCAGATCATGTTCGGATCGGACCGGGTTGGATCTAATTTTTCTGAGCTCGGGCCGGGTCGGGTCACAAAAAAAGTGACCCGTGTCGGACACTGGTACACAGTAGCATCACGAGAACGAAATGAAAGAATTTTTGTCGCTATTGATCGAACCGTTTTCGAGGAAATAATTCAAGCTTATAGTATTAAATGAAAATTCTATGTTGATAATGTCAAATCTCCACTGCTTACTGTAAGCAAGAAAACTTGAGAAAACACTAGAAAGCCCATTTTTTTATCCATGAGACAACCAGATCTTCGTTCAGGTAGACCATTGACCTGAACACCTTTAGGATTTTAACTCTGCGGACGGCGAAAATATAATGCTAAACAGCATCCGACAGTTCTGTATTTTCCTTCGTGAGAGCTGGAATGGTGGATGTGGGTTGGGTGTAGGTGTGGAATAAATTCAAAACATGACCCACACTCACACCCACACCCACACCCACACCTACATCCACACCCACACCTACATTCACACTCACACCTA